CGTGGATGTAAAAGGAGCTTTTCGAAAGCGCCGGGGGGATGTTGTTCCTTCCGCGAGAGTTGGTGCTGGCGAAGGTCACGTTCAATTTCTTTTCAATATCTATGAACGGCGATGATTTGGCATTCGAGCCGGTTGTCTCGGATTCCAAAAATTCTAAACAATGATACATTCTCTTGAGGAACTTATCACGAGATATGAAAAACTGTGAAAACGCGAATTTCGGGCTCATTCCGATGCAACAGTTCTTGAATGCCGCGAACAAACAAGGTAATTCTAAAGTTGAAAAGCACGCGATTGCATGTTACCTAACTGTAATTAACAATTATCGTTATAGGCAGTTTAAAAAAAGTGCTTTCACAATTTTTTTTATTTCAGGTAGATGATGTCACGTTAATTCTTAATTGATTGAAAAAAATGATATTACATTACTTGAAATTGACGTGCTTGAGTTGTACAACTTAATCACGGGAAGTTAAAAAAAATCTGAAAAGCTATTTTTAAAAATGTTGTTATTTTTGTAATATAAATTGATTTTTTTGGAATAAAAGTATTGTTATGTATTAGTACGTGCTGATTAGATTTTATCTTTTAACTGGCAAATGATATTTTAATAAGTTCGCCCAAGACATTAAATCACACTTTGGTTTTTTTTTTTTTAGAGAAAATTTTCTTTGCCTGTTGAGAGGGGGATACGGTAACGTCGAATCCCGGTGAGCAGCAGCTCACGCAATGTTTATTTGTACGCATATTGGTTGGTGGCTGCAAGCTGGGAGGCATAAATAATAAAGCTGGAACTCTGGTAGTTCGGTCTAATTTCGAATCCGCGAACGGGCGGGTTTTGGGTGTTGCGGGATTTACGCATGGGCCTCGTTACCAGCATCTTTGATGCATAATGAATAACGCGAAAGTTCGCTCCCAAACCGAGGATACTATTCGGTCCAACTTTCGAATCCACGACCGGGTTTGGCTCAATGTGTGTTTTTCGGATTTTTCGCATGTGTAACATGTATGCGGTATCTTCTGATGCATATGAATAAGCGGGGCCAGCGCGAAACTCAGAACACTGGTTTCGGGCCAATTTTCAATTCCGGGGTACTGTACATAAATTTGTCGCATACGTGAATACAGCGCGCGGATACCGGGTAAAACCCTGACACGGGTAGTTCGGTCAAATTCGAATCTCTGCGAGCGGGCTGGCTGCATGGGTGTTTTCCTGATTTTCCGCATGTTGTATAGTGTTAAAGTGATTCTGATGCATATGAAAATGGGCGCAGCCTGCTCAAACCCTCTTAAACACGCTGTATTCGATCCAATTTTTGTGTCGGGAACGAGCTGGCTCCCCGGGTGTTTTTCTGCTTTAACTCATGTGTATCGTTTAGCAGTATCCTCCATGCTATGTGTTAAAGCGGGCGCGCCCGCTCCACAAAATCGCTGAAACCTGGTATTTCGGTCTACTTCGAATCCGGGGTACTGTCTAAAATTTGGATTCATACTGAACAGCGCGCGATACCGGTAAAACGCTGAACATGTAGGTCGCCTCAAACTTTCGAATCTCGGCGAGCGGGCTGGCTGCATGGGTGTTTTCGTGATTTTCGCAGTGTATCGTTATAAGTATTCATGGTGCTACTGATCAAGCTCACAGAATCTGGGTTTGCGTTCTGGTAATGCGGTAATTTCGCCCCCGACGAACTGTGCTGGCTCCATGGGTTTTCTGATTTTAGCCGTTTATAGTGTATGAGTCTCTCTGGGTGTATATGTGAATAAAGCGGGCAGAGCCCGCGCAAAGCACAGAAACTGTAATTCGGTCAACTTTCGAATACCGGCGAACAGGCAGGCTCCATGTTTTTTCGTGATTTTTAACGCATGTGTATCGTTTATGCAACATCTTCACATGCAACGTGAAAGCGGGCACAGCCCGCCAAAATCGTGAAAAATTATTTCGGTCCAACTTTGAATCGGCAGCGCTGGCTGGAGGGTGTTTCGTATTTTAACGCGTGTACGGTGTGCGCAGTATCTTTTGCATGCTGAACACGTTTTGGGCGGGCCCGCCCAAGCGCTGAACATCTGGTATTCGGTCCAAATTTCAATACCCGCGAAAGCTGGAACAGGGTGTTTTTCGTGTTTTCCGCGATGTATAGGATAGCGGTAACTTTGGATGCTAGTGAAAAAGCGTGGGAAGCCCGCGGAATGCCGCTAAAAAATGGCGTTCGTTCAACTTTTCATACCGGCCAAATTTACTAGGATATCTTTTAAAAAAAACGAACAATGATAAGGGGCTTCAGCCCCTCGCTGGCGGGCTTGCCCGCTAGTTATATTGAAAGACTGTAATAGTTTTTTTATTCAGTTTCGATGAAATGCTCAAGCTAAGTGTTTTATAATTATTTATATTTAAAAATCAGAAATGGAAAGATATAAACAGAAGGCATGACTTATATCACCTTATGCCTTGGTCCCAAGCTTTGCAGATTTTTGAAATTCAGTTGTAATTATTAAATAATGATCATTCTGTTGTGTCCCAAATAATTATTTAATACTCATAACTAAATATTCATTGTAACCATTCAGCATCTTATTTTCTCTGTTACTGCCTTAAAATATTACATATATATTTCTTAAATTTTTCCTCTACCTTACTTTTAATAACACACATAATTAAGTTTTGTAATATATCTACATTTGTATCAACATTTACAGTATAATGAGTTTTTAGTTAATGAAAGGTGATTCTAATATATATTATATTAGTTGCAAGATAATAATTCTTAAGGGGGGCTTATGTATTAAAACTACCACACTGTAAAAGTCCGTAAAATTTTTGGAAATATTGTAACCCTGTGCATTATTAATGTCTGTTTTAACCAACAATATTGCCATATGGTATGTGCTGTGCTTATTGTATTCTAAGTGGGTTTTATAGGTTAGTTAATTTCCATCTTAAATTCAGTATTAAAATATGCACTTGGGGGGGAGGAACTTCAATAAAAGTTTTGCAAGAGCAGAGTTCTCTCAAAATTGCTGAAATCAAAATGATCCTTAAAAATTGCAAGGAAATATTATGTGCATATTTAACATTTTAATAAGTTATTTAGTCCAAAAATCAATCAATAAGCATGCACAGAATTTTTTTTTAGTCCAAAGGAGTGATAGCCTTTCCCCCCAAAGTTTGGAGTTCCTGTTAATGTAATTTATGTGGAGTTCCTGTTATTTTATAAATAATTCATAATGAAGGATCTCAGAAGACTATCTGAGACAGCTAATTTCAGTTTATTTTTTAAATTGTGAAATTGTGTTCATAAATATCCTCTGGGACCCCTCATTCTGTATGTGAATAAAAAATTATCTTCATTTAAAATATGAAATACGTATAGTATTTGTGTCAAATACCAAATGGTGAAATAAGTAAGTTATTGAAAACCAATCTACCTTTCACAAAACCAGTGTGCAATAAATGCTTTAATTCCTGTTAGACATGCTCACTGGAGTTTGATTGTTTAAACTTTTTTGTTTTGATTGACTTTTGTCAAAATTACATCACAAACATGGGAGGTTAGTTTATATTCCAAATAAATAATTTAGAAGTGATTATTTACTTACAGATGCTGTATTAAATTTTTTATTTTTGTAAGTAAACTTTAATATTAATTGTGTAACATAAAATGCAAGCCAATTTGCCATAGAAATTTCTCTCTTCAGGTAAATAGTTTAAGTGTGCTTTGTCATAATATATTAAGTCCAAATTTGATATTTATTTGATTCTAAGAAAATTTGGATTTTAGTTTTTAGTTCAAAGGGACAATTTGCCCTGAAGGACTATTAATTTCGCTTTGGCTTTTTGCTTTGGTTAACTATAAATGCTGGTTGACTTTCAAATTGTTGCCACAAAATATTATCAACCTGTGTTACATTTAAAGAAATTAACTAATGAAGCTACATTAATATATGTATGTTTCTCGCATTGAGGTACAATAATGGTACCTAGAGCCATCAAATTTTGAATAACGAAATCTTTCACCTAATATGGGCATCTAGAAGCCCAAATTTGGAATTCGTTTTATTATCGATTTCATATTTTGTAACACTTTAACAAATTTTTTAGTAACAAACTCAACAATTTCAAAGTGAGCAATGGCAACACTTTATAAGAAAGCAAAACATTTTTATTTCCAGCATGTGTGACTGTGTTCTTTGTTTTAATTCTAAAGTTTTGCTCATTTAAAAATTATTTTGCAATATTGCTGCTGAATTGAATTTTATAGTTTAAGTGCAAAGAACATGTTATTTAATAAATAAAGGTGATACACAAGGGCGTGATGTAAAATCTGAAGGCTTTCAGATTTTTTTTTATTAAGTTTCTGTTCATTTGAAAATATTTGAAATATTAACTTCAGTTATGTAACAGAGAGTAAAGGTTAGTGGCTAAGAGTTAAGAAAATTTGTAATAGGAAATTATGCCAAAGTCAATATTTATTAAGATGAAACCCTTTTTTCAACAACTTACTTTCACAAACAAATGCAAATAAAATTACAAGTTTTTACTTGGGAAATTATTCTGAGTGTGTGTTCACAATAGATTTATTTTAAAAAATTTCGAAAAACAGTATTCTTTTGAGAGTTAGAAGCAACAACTTTTAGATGTATGCGGTGGCGCACAAAAAATTGACTCATCTCCTGTTGCCAGTCTCAATTATTGTGATTCTTTGTTGAAGAGAGTAAATCTCATTGAACTACTTCACATGGTTTTCATACCTGACTCTTCACTGCTTTTGTACTGACAGTAAAAGTCTACAATATTTTCGACAATGAAGCAGACGAGATGAGCTAGCTTTTGTCTGTGTGTGCTAGTGTCCTGTCGCCAACTCTCTATTTTAGAGTGTAAAATGTTAAATATTAGAAAATTGTATTTTTCTCATATCATCACATATAATATTTTGTCCAAAAAAACTATAAATCTTGATCACTAATTAACTGTATACGTAAAATTTTTTTATATTTTCTTACAGACTTGGGAAGATCCTAACCACATTGATGAATCAACAGGATGTAAAGGAGATAATGATCCTATTGATGTCTGTGAAATAGGCTATAGGGTTTAGTATTGTGTTATTTAGTAATTTTATTAATTTTATACAAACCTTTGTTTCTCTATATAAGTCATTTATTTTCTTTTACAATGAGTAGATTGCAAAACGAGGAGAAATCTTACAAGTGAAAATATTAGGAGTCATGGCTTTGATTGATGAAGGTGAGTCAGCATTAAATTTTAGTAAAACTATTTGAATAGATGATGTATTTTTAAATTGAGTGCAGTGTAAACCATATTAGTCATGGTTAAAATGTGAAAAAATTAAAAAAAATTCCATAATATTTACATTAAAAGTGTATTATTTCCTAACTTATTATAATATGTACAAAGGGAAAAAGATATGATTGTAACATGGATAATTAACTTTCAATGATTTGCTGCATCAGTTTCTATCAAAATAAAATTAAAAACATAATTTATAACTATTTTATTGTTGTTGGATTTGCATAATAGTAGCACTTATGTACTGTAGCCTAGCAGTGGCTGTGGGATAATGTTGAATGCTGGTAGTTCAACTGGGATTTTTATTCTGGCAAATGAGCTGGCTGCATGGGCATTTCCGTGGTTTTTTGCATGTGTAATGTATATATGAGCCAATTTCCTTAGAAAACCCTCCTTGAAGATATTCATCCCCTTAGGCAGATAGCCCTAGTGCTTTGCCATAATCAAATAAATCAGTAAACCAAGCACATGTGTAATTCTAATTTTATTCTGTTTTAAGAACTGTAATGTGTATGTAATATTCAGGTTTTATTTACGTGGCTGAAATCAGAGAAGCTGTTTTATTTTATTTTATTTATATTCTTATTTTTCTATTTTAGGGGAAACTGATTGGAAACTTATTGCAATTGATATAAATGATCCTTTAGCTGAAGATCTCAATGGTAAGCCAGGTTATTCCATCACTGCAATATCTGTGTTTAAAATTTAAAATAAATAAATAAAAGCACATATTTACTTCATTAATTATTTCTAGATATTGAAGATGTTGAGAAACATATGCCAGGATTTTTAAGGGTAATTTTTTTATTCAAACTTTTTCTGTTAAATTTTACCATTATGTTGATTTACTCGTGGAGGAACTGCTAGTTAAAATAATTAATATCTATTGCATTAATATCATGCATATGGGCTCGTTATAAAATGAATGCACAAGTCCGATGAAAAATGAAGAAAATTTATTATTATCACAACAAATATGATTAAATGTCCTCAAATAATCGTGCAGTATCACAATATATCATAGTAGTTACCTTCTAACTACTCAAATGTTCAAGAGAACTTAATTCAAAACAGCTAAAGAAAGCTAATTCACGAATTCGCTACAGTCAACAAGAGCAGTTTTCTAAGCAAACTTTTAAAACAACAACAAAACTAACTAAATGAGAGGTTTTTCTCCTTTTTATAAGATTTTTGAATCGTGTGCGAGAACTTTCTGGAACTTTCTCGAAATTAAAAAGAGATATTTATTTATTTAATGTTAAATGCACGTGCTCTTGTATTTTTAATTTTCCGGCTTAGCTTTCCTTCAATATTCGTCACGTGCTACACTGCACGGGGAATAAAGCAATTTAATTTATAATTCAACTAACATTAGCTATTTTAATACCAAATCCGTAACACTGCCCACTTCTCAAGGACTGCACGTTCTGGGCAGTACAATCCGTAGACAGGAAGCACAACTAAGACGTCAATGCAATAATAAACATTACATTATAATAACAAACAACACGATCAATAAATGCAATAACTTAAACAAATCAATGTTATCAAATACTAAATACAAATCAAATACTAAGTGCAAATTTAGAAACAAAAAGGACCATGGTCTTGCTCTACTTACAATTATTTATACTACGTACTATGGCCATAGTAATGAGCTAACCTGTCGTAATGAAAGACTTTATGTTTAGAGTTCGAAGATTCATGGATCCGAACCACGATGTCATTCAGCCTGTTTAGGACTGTGTGCGGACCATCCCAAGGTGACTGTAATTTAGGCCTGGCTCCTTTTCGTTGAATTGGGTTCCACAACCACACCTTGTCTCCTTTGTTGGATCTATGTCCTGTAGCTCTCGTGTTGTATCTGGACTTCACTTTCTCCGTCGCCAGGTTGACTTGCTTTCGTGTGGAACGGTGCATCATTTCAAAACAGGCCTGTACATAATTCAGAAGTCAAACAACAAAAGTCAGCGTTATATTTACAAAATTTTCACAAGACTAGTTTCGATGGTTTTACCGAACCACCATCTTCAGCTGCAAAACCGCAAATGATTTGCGGTTTTGCAGCTGAAGATGGTGGTTCGGTAAAACCATCGAAACTAGACCTGTGAAAATTTTGTAAATATAACGCTGATTTTTGTTGTTTGACTTCTGAATTAGTATTTATCGGCGTGTTATTAGGCCTGTACATCTTGGATGTATTCCTCAGGCGATGAAAGCGCATCCGTATGGCGATCAAACAGGCAGTCACAAGGCAGATGAAGGTCACTACCGAAGAGCATTTGTGATGGGGAATAGCTGGTAGCCTTGCGTTTCTTATCGGCCCTAGTACGATTTCGGCAGCTTCCCGAGCTAGGTCTTTCGTACAAGGCGTCGGCATTTCCAGGTGAGGATCCCTTCTGAGGATGGATAGTCATGTCTTCAGATGCTGAAAGCAGTTTGTTGTTTTTGAAGTCTAAGGAAAAATTGTATTTCCTTAAAATGTCTAGTCCGAGTATGCATGGATCTGTAATATTTGCCACATATGCCGTGTGATGGTAGGCGGCACTTCAAATGTGATGTTCACGTTTAACTTCCCAGCTATCTCAATCTTGTCACCAGACGCAGTCTGAAAGGTAACACAGGATGGCGTCCAAATAAGTTTATCTTTAAACTGTTCATCTAAATCTTTCCTAATGATGGTAACATTAGCTCCTGTGTCAATGATCATATTGCAAGGAATTCCATCGATATGCCCATTGATGGATTGTTGCCACTCACTCTAGAAATCTTTAGTGCTTTAAAACAAGGTTTTTCATTATCTGGCAACCTCCGTTCCTTGATATGGTCATTAATTTGTTTCCTGCGTCGTTGCTGAGAAATGGTCTCAATTTCCGTATCCTGGGGTGTTCTGCAATTCTTTCGTACGTGGCCTTCAGTTCCATAGTTCCAGCACTTTGGTTTCTTGTCAATCCTTTTCTGTCCCATGGCATTTAATTGTCTATTTAACCCGCCTCTCTTATTGTCCGTGCTCTGTGGTGTTCCTTCGTATGTGGCCTTCAACACCGCAGTTCCAGCACTTTAAGGTTGGTTTCTTCTCACCAATATTCCGTCTCAAGGCATTCACTGGTCTTGTCAAATCATCCGTTTTATTATCCGTGCCCTGATGTGTTCTGCAATGCCGTCGTATATGTCCTTCAATACCACATTTCTAACACCTTAGAGCCACTTTGTTCTCACTCCTACTCCATATCAAAGCATTGACTTCTCTAGCTAAATCATCTAAACGAGCCATCAGTTGATCCACTGGCTCGTGTACTCGCATAGCTCTGACTGGGTAGTGGTCTCTACGAGTGGCTTGCTGGGCTGCCTCGAATTTCATGGCGTACACTAAAGCGCTTTTCAGATCTTTAACATCCAAGATTCGCAGTGCTTTCTGTATTTCAGAGTCCCGGATGCCATCGATGAAATATTGCAGCAACAGGATTTCTCTTGTTTCTGTCGGGCACTCCGAAAAGGCGTGATGTGACGGCCTTTTAACATCCGTGGCGAGCTCCTGAAGTGTTCGGTGGGCTTCTGTTGACGGGATTGTAGTTGAAGCCTGCTGTAGTCTTTTAAACACTTTTCTCCGAAGCGCAGCTCCAATGCGCCAGATAGAGCTTCAAAGTCTAATCTCTGGTTTTCGGGAAGAGTCTGCAGGATATCCCCTGCATCTGCTCTCAGGGAAGCGGCAAGATGACAGGCCTTAGCTTGGGAATCCCATCTATTCGCATCCTCAACTATAGAAAATTGGGTTTTATACACTTGCCAGGATGTCTTCCTATCATATGTAGATAGCTTTAGAGATAGACGAGCAGACATCGGTAGAAATTTAAAACCATCCAGATTGCTCCCTGCCGTCGCTATGAACCGCAGAAACTCTATCATTAATTTGTTGTTCTACGGCAGAAACTCTCTCTTCTATTTCTTCTTTTACCGAAGAAACTTTTTCTTCAATGTTTCCAAATTTATTTTCAACTGCGTCAATTCTGCCTTCCATAACCTCAAATTTGTTTTCTATTACACTGATAATTTCTATTTTCATCTCCTCTTGACCTGCTTCAACCTTTCCTTGAACGGTCTTCATATCTACCTTAACTGCTTCCATCGTTTTTTGAACGACTTTCTGTCCCGCCTTAATCTCTACTTTAATGCATGTCATCTCTGTTTTAACAGAATCTTGCATGTCTTCTTTAAATGATGCTTGGCCGGCTTCGATCTTTTCCTGGCTAGATTTCATCTCTTCTTTAAACGAGGTAAAGGCTGATATCAACTGCCTTAACTGTTCTTCCATTGCTCTTGTTATTGGCATTCAAATCCCACTTCTGACACCAAAAACTGTTACGTGCGTATGGGTTAGTTACGAAATAAATGCACAAGTCCGATGAAAAATGAAGAAAATTTATTATTATCACAACGAATATGATTAACTCAAACAATCGTGCAGTATCACAGTAGTTATCTTCTAACTACTCAAACATTCAAGAGAACTTAATTCAAAACAGCTAAAGAAAGCTAATCCACGAATTCGCTACAGTCAGCTAGAGCAGTTTTCTAAGCAAACTCTTAAAACAACAACAAACTAACTAAAATCACTGACTAACTGAATTGAGAGGTTTTCCTCCTTTTTATAAGATTTTTAAATCGTGTGCGGGAACTTTCTGGAACTTTCTCGAAATCAAAAAAAGATATTTATTTATTTAATGTTAAATGCACGTGCTCTTGTATTTTTAATTTTCCAGCTTAGCTTTCCTTCAATATTCGTCACGTGCTACACTGCACGGGGAATAAAACAATTTCATTTATAATTCAACTAACATTAGCTATTTAAATACCAAATCCGTAACACTATTTTGGAAATGGCTTTTTATCTGCTGGGAAATCTGCATTCTTCCTTGTGGTTGTGCAGTGCTGAAGAGGATGAAGTAAATAATCCGACTATTTCTATCACAGAAATGGGTGAAGGTTGTGTCATCCCAGTATGCCTATGTGGGGTGTGTCATCATGAATTCTTACATGGAATATAGCTGTCAAAGACTAAAATAAGAGTAGAAATCTAGCAGAGAATCCTAACAGCCAAGTACCTGCCAACCTAAATGAATTACCAAGTAGACTCGGCTAACATAATGGAGTAGTTTAACCAGTCAAATTAATCACCTGTAATCCATCTTATGTTTTTTCCTCACCTGTCATAGTTTGACATTCCCTTTTCATCTGTTTTGTAAAGCTCAAGGAAAGCGCCACTTAAAAATTGCGGTCATTCACACTGGGGTTTTTCGTAGCTAATGGAGACATCTAGCATAGCTGACACAGCTCCAAAACCAGGTTTTCTTCATAGCAGAGTGAGTTGAAAAGTCTGAACTTCACGTGTAGCAAAGCTATTTGACATACAGAATTAATTCCGTTAACACAGATGAACATCATTTTGACCTTTCATCATCAATGACCTTTTGTGTTACACTTAACATCGGGTATGCTCCTTTGGCAGGCAGTCAGATTTTCTGCTCTAGTATTGAGATAAAATATTATTCTCAATACTACCAGAAACCAGATAACAATACCCATTTTGGAATGGTTCTGATAATTGCTTTAGATTTGATATAGGATTATCTTTTTTTATTATAATCCTCATCTTAATATGCAAGAATATGAGCATTTAATTTGTTCCATGTTCCTGTAACAAATTTATACCTGTTCCTGGCAGTTTAATGCTAACCTGAGTTAGCATTAAACTGCCAGGAACCTGAGTTAGTATTAAACTAACTTGAGTTAGCATTAAACTATTAGAGTAAATTATTAAATAAACGTTTTAGAGTAAAATATTTCTATACATTTTCAAAAATTTTTTGAATGTACGTGTATTGATAGAACAATAAACAGTAGTGTATAATCAACATAATGTTTGTGTAATGTTTTTTAATTTGAAGTTTAATATATATGCTGATTTTATTTAGAATAATCAGAATCACAAAAGAGAAAATTTGTTAGAAAATTTGTTTTTGTAAGGCAAGAGAGTTTAAAATTATTACTTAAGGAGAAGAAAAATAATTTATTTATGCATTTTTAAATAAAACTGGAGAGGAATCTATGGTGAGGATTATTTTGCCAGTATCACAAAAGTGATTTTGTATCAGTAAAAATTATGCTTTTTATACCTACTTTACAAACTTGGATGATAGTTTCATTTTTAGCATATTACAAGAATAATCATACATCATAAATCCTATTTCCTAATCAAGATGCATTCTGATAGTCACTTTTTATGGGTTTCAAAAAAAGAGAGATAAGCAGACTAAATATTAGAAAGTAATTTAAATAAATAACATTGGGAATATTTTATTTTATTATTCTATAAAATATCCACAACATTTATTTTGCCCTTGTCTAAATAAAATTTCCTAGACTTCCAGTACTGAAATTATATATATATATATTTCGAATGGCTGGCACTTGCTTTTCTAGCACTGGCTACTCCTAAGGCCAGAAGTGATGGCTATTTTATTGTGGAGGCACCCAATAGGCAACCACCATTATCTCCTGTGAGAGGACAGACATTTTATATCTGTACCTTCTTGGGGATTCGAACCCGGCCCTTCGGTATCACAGTTGGCTCCCTTAACCACTATACCGTCTGGGCGGCACTGAAATTATATATATGACTTACATATACATTGTAAATTCTTTTCATTTCATGATTAAAAAGGGGGGATAAAAGAAAGAAAATCTGAAAGGATTCAGATTTTAATATCTTATCAGAAGGTTTCTTAACGTTTTTTATGCTCTTGTGCCACTTAATGTTTACCTATCTGCTCTTGAACTTAACATCTGCTGATAAAATTCTTTTTGTTCTTTTATTTATAAACATCACTTCTTTTTGCTCTAACATCTCAAAATTTGGCAGTAAAATCCACAAATTTTTTACAAAGAGCATATTTTTAGAATTCTCAATTCAGTGTTAACCCTTTGCACTCGGGGCTTTTTTTGGGTGGCGCACCAGCAACTTGAGATGTTTTGCAGCCTTTTTGACACATTTCTTACCAGTAACTTAAAATCGTTACACACACAAATTAATGTATAAAATTTTGATATTTTAACATTTTATGTGTCTTTACACCTTTATAAACATAATTTCTTAAATATTGGTCTCTGTAATATTTCTGTGTATGATACGAGGGCTATCCAGAAAGTAGATTACGTTTTGGAATAAAAAAATAAACAAAGTATAAAAAAACAAATTTTATTATATACAGATGAAAGCCACACTCAAATACTACTTTTCTACATAGTCACCATACAAAGTAAGGCATTTATCGTAGCGATGTACGAGCTTGGAAATTCCTTCGTCGAAAAATTCGGCCGCCTGCGCCTTCAACCACTTCGTTACCTCTTCTTGCAGCTGTGCGTCGTCATCGAAACGCTGCATAGCCAGCCACTTCTTCATTGCTGGGAATAGGTGGAAGTCGCTCGGTGCCAGGTCGGGACTGTACGGCGGATGAGGAAACAACTCCCACTTAAAAGATTCAAGAACTTTACGAGTGACATTTGCCGTGTGGGGCCGGGCGTTGTCGTGAATCAACAAGATCTTAGAGCTCAACATTCCTCTGCGCTTGTTTTTGAATTGCTCTTCTGAGTTTTTTGGAGAGTTTGGCAATACCTTTGAGAGTTTATTGTAGTGCCTCTTTCCAGGAAGTCCACCAAAATTACAACCTTTTCTGTCCCAAAAAACAGTCGCCATCATCTTCCTTGCCGACATTGTTTGCATGCATTTCTTGGGTTTTTGGGGAGAACTTGTGTGCCCCCACTGCATTGATTGCAATTTCGTTTCACAGTTCACATGTTTCACCCATGTTTTCGTCACCAGTAACGATGCGATCGAGTAAAGAGTCACCATCCTTATGGTAAGCATCCAAAAAGTTCAACGCTGCAGCCATTCGCTGATTTTTGTGGTCCTCTGTCAAGATTTTGGAATCCATCTTGCACAAAACTTGTGGTAACCAAGCTTTTCGCTGATGATTTCATGCAACAAACTTCGCGAAATTTGTGGAAAAACTCAAAGAAAGTTCCGTTATTGTGAAATTTCGATTTTCACGGACTTTAGCATCGACTTTTTCGAGAAGTTCGGCGGTCACTGTGCTGGGTCTCCCCACTTCGATCTTCGTCGTGAACATTGGTTCAGCCATTTTTGAAATCTTATGACCCACTGACGCACTCACCTTCAGTGATAATGTTGTCCCCATACACTTCACGAAGCTGCCGATAGATTTCTATCGGTTTACAGTTTTTTTGCAGTCAGAAACCTTATTACTGAGCGCGCACCTCGCAGCTCGCGGGATTTTCAATTAACGCAGACATTTCAAACCGTCACAGTATCTGAACGGAGCACAGCACGAACCTCTCACTAGCATGGCTAGATGCAGACTGAGCTGCGCAACGCTCTGACCCCAAGATGGCCGCGCTAGCCCCTCCCCTAGCGGACACAGACGGAAACGTAATCTACTTCCTGGATGGCCTACGTATTTCATGTAACAATTCCCAACATGCATGCCCGGCTTTTCAGGGCAAGTATTACAATATTATGTTGTTTGAAACCTTTTTCCGGGCTCATTTCTCTGAGAATAGACCTTATGATAGATAAGAAAAAGATTTCAGGTAAGAAAATCTTATCTCCATGTAAAGGGGTATCATTTTACACGTCATAGGATTATGCAGAAAGAGCGTAGGAACCCGCTTTGGGTTCGAGTATATTTAAGTAAACAGTTATTGCCACGCATCGAGTTTCTGCATCAAACCAAGTGGTGAGTGAGAGTCACCTCTCGAGTTGCGGCATCAAATCACAAGGTGGTGAGTGAGAGTCACCTCTCAAGTGCAAAGGGTTAAGTAGTATTGTTAGTGTCATCATTTTTTCACTCAGAAAGGTTATTATTCTCAAACTTCACTTTGTTATCCAATTCACTTTTCAAATTACTGTATATATGCATACAAATATACACACACACATTCAAATATGTATATATATTTGCTATATTATTTCCTTAATCGCATGGTGATAGCATTTTAAAAGTGATAAGAACAGAAAAGTTAAATAGAGACTAATAGTTTCTCTTGTAAAAAAATAATTATGCTAATCCTTTGTTTCATATTTAGTAAAGTTTGATATTCTTTTTGCCTAACTTAGAAGTATGTGCTTTTTAGGCAACTCATGAATGGTTCCGGATATATAAAATGCCTGCAGGAAATCCCGAAAACAAATTTGCTTTTAATGGAGAGCCTAAAAACAAAGTAAGGAAATATTTTTATCAGTATTCTTAAAAACAATTGTATTAATTCTTTCCTGAAAATATAATTAATCTGAAAACTTTCATTATCAATTTAATTTTATACAGAGTTTTAATATTTTTCCTTAAAATTAATTAATGTTTCAACTTGTCTTCCTTTTCAAATCTTCGAAATGAATGAAATGAAACTTCAGAAAAAATAATTTTATTTTTAAAAAGTTCACAGAAATTTTATGATGTCAAAAAGGCATGTATACCAGCAACTGTAATTTTAGTAAAGCCTGTTGCTCATGTTTGGTCTTGTAAGCTGTGCGCTAAATGACTCACTTCAACAAAGTGGTCAGATGCCATTTTTTAAATGATTTTATAAAATATGACTATTTATAAAATTTTACAGGTTTCATACTGTCCTTAAAAATACTTAAAAGTAAGTTTTTTTTGGTCCTTAAAATTTTGCTCATCTGACATGTCTGCTTTTTTATGATTGTCATTTTGAGTGTGAATTAACATTTTGGTCGATTATTTTTCATGATGAATTGACAAATATGGATTTGATGGCTTAATATTTGAATCTTGTCCTACTTACTATAAATGATGGATACTCGGGTTTTAGGCAGGAGGCTCTGTGTTGATTGAAACATAAACATTTTGAAATAATTTCTTTTTTGCAAATGAAGTAAGTGTTCATAAAATATTACATCAAAAACAATTTTTCCGTTTTTGGGATATGAGTTATTTTATTATGATGTGCTAAATTTGGAAACTTATCAATGTTTTGACGATTTCAAGATCAGTTTGTATGTGAAATTTTTTATTCGAAGATTTGTGAAATTTTGACGATTTTTACTTCCTTGTACGAAGTAAAGGAAGTATTGCAATTGCAAAAAATATCAGGTATCATATCTCGCCACTCTCAAATCCATTTAATGATGTTTTTGCATGACATCTGTATATACAGACAGAATAAAGGACTTTTTTTTTTTTTTTTTTTTTTTTCCAAAATAGATTTGAAAGACGTTTTTTCATGACATCTGTACGTATACACTTATATATGTGTCTCACATAACTCAAAAACAAGTAGACTTAGAATGTTGATGACTTAGCTGGCTAAGTGAGCTCAGTTTTTTCTTATTTTTATATGTTGGTAAAATTGTGCATTTTTTGCTTTAAAAGTGATAAAATAAAACATTTATATTTTCTTGCCATATTTTAAAGTGACATTACTTGTTACTGTTATTTTTGTAACTTAAATATATTCATTCTGAAAAATGAACAATGCTGTGAAGCACAGTTTCCAAAACAGTTCTGTAATTATTTTAAAATTAGTTTAATTTGTTTTCTTTTATATTTTCCTCATGTAATTGCTTCAGAGTATTTAAATGTGTATCAGTTTTCTCTTGAAAATTCATTTTACGTATCTTTTTTATGGATAATGTTTCAAGAACTTTTATAATTTAATGCCACTCACTTGGAAAGATTTAGGAAGCTAATTTTATTTTTGAATCTGTTTTATAATTAAGTTAAATATTAGATTATTTTTAATAATAATGCATCCTACTTACAGATTTATTTTATTCTTACAAAATACAAAAGTTTGGGTGTAGATAAGTAGTTTATTCAATTCCTAATTGCTTGATAGGTACTAATTCTTTTTTTTTTTTTTTACTCAAATTTTAACCTTTAATTAAAGAGATTCTAAAAGGTGAAATGTCTGAAAGATCAACATAAGTCAACTTCTATTTAAAGAACAATACATGTCTTGTGGGGTAGGATATGTGCCTTTTAAAGTTGCATTGACAATTTTCTTCAAGAAACAAGAGCCATGCATTAGAAATTTCTGTCTCTTTTGTTAGAATTATTATTGGATGGTATATGCAGAAGTATTAAACCACTTCCTTAAATTTCTTTTAATTTGCTTTGAGACAAAATGGATTGCTAAATTAGTTTCTATACTGCGGTAATACCCTAAAAGATAATTCCTTCACTATGCACCAGTATCTGAAATAATTCACAATGATGTCACAGCCTCTATTTTCACTAAATATTGCTACAATTTCTGGCATACCTCCACTGAATAAATATCTATCTTTTTTAAGTGTTAATCTTCAAGTTTTCAGTCTGTGTCAGTAACCAAGCAGGAAGTTAGTGACCCTGCAACATTGTTTCTATAAGGATGTAATTGAAAAGTACCATGTACTAATAGAAGATACAAAGATACTAAAGTGTCATGTTTTTTATTGTTATGCCTTTACCAAAGTAAAATTCTTTTGTTCGTTTAAAATAATCAAAAGCCTTCTTTTATATCATTACAGTACAAAGTCTGAGATCATCAAGACTTCGACAATTAAACTCTGACTCTGTTGACTTTGTTGAAAAACAACACTTTGTTGAAAGAGGGACACTTTGTTGAAAAACAACAAAGTGTCCCTCTTTCTCAGGGAATTTAATTAACTAATTTTAAATACAGAGTTATGTATGAACTTTTTCTCTTGCATGCCATAATAACTGAAACAAAATTATACTGACACAGTCAAAATTCCTAAATGCAAGTACATAAAATTTACTTTATCAATTTTAAGAGATGAGACATACTGAACACATGAATAAATTTCTATCAAAGAATAATTTATTAAATTTGACACATTCCATAGTAAATTTTAACCATTAGATTACATTATTACACCATGTTATGAATTTGAAAAGCAAGTCATATGCCAAATCTTGGTTGTAAAAAAATACACAAAATAATATATAGATTATTAAAAAATGATGTATACCAGTGTTTATAGATATGATTAAATGTAACAGATTATGTCAACAGAAAATTTACTGTCACAACCATATTAAGTGAAATGTATTATTTTAACATTTCACAATATTTAAGATATGGCATTAAATGCAAAATTATGTGCATGGACGTAAGTTAGTAAATTAATAAATAAGTAATAATAATAAAAGAATGAATGTTGTGAAAAATTTCAAAAACAAGCAGAATTTAATTTAGAAGACACTAAATAAATTTGAGACTTCTTCACCCAAAATTAAATTATAATTAACTAAAAGCAGTTTGACTGACCTTCCACGAAATTCTTCGGCTGCAATTTTTTCAATCTTGAATATCAAATTCTTTTCTGCATGGTAATAACATCTTAACCAGTTGAAATCCCTACAGAAAGTTTGATAACACAATAATAGAAGAGAAAAAATTAATACAAAAGTATAGAACATCATTTAAACTTAACATTATTAAAAATTTTGGTGCTTTCTGACTATCTGCAAAGCTGTAAAAATTGGCAAAATGTTTGTTTGGTTAGTTTATGGTTCATATCTACTGCTCTGTTCACAAATAGTAATTCAAATAAGCATTTTATAAGAAACAAGAAATTTTAGGACACAAAATTTATATACATATATAGGGTTGGTATTCACATATTTTTCATTCTACGGAATACTATTCAGAAATAAAGATTAAATATAATGCATGTAAATACATGTATGTGATATGCATATTCAGAGATTGCTATATTATTATCTTGCAATTTTAATATAAGCTGTGAGTCAAGATGATGAGAAAGTATCAAAATTTTTCATGTACAAGAAAAGATTGCCCTAACAAAATAGTATCTCAGTTTTTTAGCACTGACATTTATATAGTGCATTAGAAATATATAGTAATATATGTATAATAAAAAGATAATTGCATACTATTAATTCAATTTTTAAGTGTTAAACTTTATAATTAAACAGAATTCTTTCACATGAACATCTAAAAATCAATTTTTGATTCTGAACTAAAAAATAAAATGAAATAAATAATAAAACCATGTATATTTCTCGTGAAGCCCATCATTTCGTTTTTGGATAACATTTATATTTCCATCTCACCTTCAATGAAACATTAAGAGAAATGCATATAATTTAAACACCAGATTATTTTATTTATCAGACAAATTATGTCAACTCAAACAAACCTATCAGTAAAATTGGGTAGTAATAATTCTGAACGTTAGACAGCTTGCAAGATTCAACAAAAGTTATCAATACTTTTATAATAATGACAATACTACAGTAACATGAACATAAAATTAAACTGCATATGCCTATAAAATAAGCCAACACATAATAATGGTATATTGGTTTCTAAAACAATGGGCAGGATAAAAAAAAAACCTGTATTATGGTAGATAGCTATTCAAATTCTTAAGCTTTCCTAATATTCTCATGTTCACTTTACATAACTAAAGTATCTAAAATACAATCAAAATGCAAAAAATATTTATGAGAAAATTTTAAAAGCAATCATAAGCATATGACCATATTTTGTCTTCCTGCAAGTCGAATCTTAAAATGATATGCAGTTTGAAAACCTGCTTAATCGTTTATAAAAGATTTAAAAAAGGTACTGTTCTGTTATCAGGACCGGGTTCAGAAATGTATTTATGTATGCATCTATATTTGTGAATGTATGTGTATATGTACGTATACACATCTATGAACACACATACAAACACACATTCATACATTTCTGAATCCAGTCCCGATAACAGAACAGTATCCCCCAAAAAACTTAGAACTTCTAATTCTCCATGTTTCAAAATTGAATTACAAACTAGATTAAGATAATGTTTCAACCATACATACAAATATTTGGACAAAACTATGCAAACTCTTATTTTTATACAATTGTTCAAACTATTTAATGTAAATTTATTGCTGCAATAATAATAAGCAATCTGATCGATCACACTTTTGAAACTGAATGCATAAACTAGACTGAAAAATATTCAGCCATAAACATTTGGATAGCAGGGCAAATCAGATATTTGAAAACACATCCATTGAGATATACACTTAATTCACGACAGAACGGTAACAACTTATAAAGCTAAAGATAGCTATCACATTTAACTGTCAAAATGACATAAATAACATTAATTCGACATAAATTCGAAAAGCAAAAAGGTAAACATACAAGTATTGCAACTGAACTTGCCTTTCATTACCTTTCATGCAACAAAAAATATCCATAGAACAAGTAAAATGCAATGAATTGGAAGTTGATCCATCAGCACTATCCTTATCTTCAGGGTAGATGTTTTTATTTTATTTGTCTTATAATTCCTTACTAAATGTAGTATTTCATCTCAATGTACTGAGTCTTCGATATGATTTAAATCAAATTCCTCGTCATTATAATTCGCTTCCGATAGGGAAGAAAGTGACACAGAGGTTATTGAAAACGAAAAAATTTCGATTTACAAATTAGTCGGTATTCTCGCAATTATAGGACTTTGTAACTGAAAGAAGAAATTATGTCTGTTTATAAAATTAAAGAGAAAGTATTATCACGTAAAATGAAGCAACTTAAACAACTTACATTGAAAGAAATGTTTAATGAAGGAAACAAATAAATATTAAGCTTTTTTTTTTTTTTTTTTGTAAATTTTGATACCCTTTAGATCATAATTGTTCTTTATTTCATAAATTACGGTTTAATATTTTTAATTTTATAATTTCTGCATGCCATCTTACCAGATTTAAACTGATGATCTATAATCCAGAAAAATCGATAATCCGGAATCGCCACGAGCCCAGATTAACGACTTGTGACTGTAACAAGAATAAATCATCAATCATATCAATAGTTTTAATGTACAGCATTTAGAAACGACTTAGTAAAATACATATGAAAATTAAATAATGTGCAACTTTCAGATGGGCAATGCCAAAAAACTAAAACTGGTAAATTTGAGAACAAATATCCTCAGAATGTTTGACAACCGAAGTCCTCCGGACAATGCAGTATGAATATCCTCAGGATGTGAAATTTGTGAAGTCTTTAGGACATCTGAAAATCGACATCTTCAGGACAGTGACAGGAAAATTGATCACAGGAAAAAAGCCCACAGAGAAATATGCCCACATAAAAAAGAACTCACATGGGAAAATGCCTTGTTATATATAAATCATATATATTTCACATACATTTATAAGGTATTTCTCCCACCTTCTTAGCATACCTTCGTGGTGTGGTGGTCTGCACGCTGAGCGCGTATTCCAGAGGTCCGTGGCTTCCAAAATACCTAATGTCTCTACAGTGGCTCCTGAACTAAAAGGGTGGTGGGAGATTATTCTCCACACCCAGGATTTAGCGATTGGGTCCTCTAAGAACCCCAGTTGCCCTTTAAAAGGGGGGAGTATATAAGTTATTTCTCCCACCTTCCTAGCATACCTTCGTGGTGTGGTGGTCTGCACGCTGGGCGCATGTTCCAGAGGTCCGTGGTTCGATTCCTGACAAAGACTTTGTTCATTTTTCACATCTTCTGCTTCCAAAATACCTAATGTACTTACCAAAATACAAACTTACTGAATAGTAGCTAATATATGTAAATATCTAATTTTATCATCAATTTCATCACAGTTTCTTACGTGATTCGCGATTACCAAATGCAAGTTTTAATTTTTTTTTTCTTTTTTGCTTCAGTATGCCCTGTATTTACAATAGCTAGTAATAAATGTTGACAGACTAAATCTTTTTTCAGTCCGTGAAACAAAAACCAGATACTAGGATGGCTACAATTAAATAATGAATTTAGTACCTTATGAAAGCTTTCGTAATAATTTGTTGTTTTAGGATATTTTTCGAAGGCTGCTTCATAATGATTCCACACTTCGATTAGAAACTGTAGTCTTCTAGAACTTTTTTGGTTCCAAACTTAAATAACTACATTCAAGCATCAATTTCTATAGATACACATCAAAAGTATACAAAAATAGAGTAAGTAAAAAACAAAAATAAACTATTGGCAGTTACAGAAAAAAATGTCGTACAGGGGGCAGTGGTATAAAATATTACAGTACAGGCAAAATTTTACTATAGTTTTCATTATTTGATATACCGCCCCTGAAAAGGCTAATATGAGCATTTGTCCAATAATTTTTTCAAATGATAAAATAATTTTTCTTTAAAAAATTCAAGTAGGTGTATGATGTTCAAATAGATTAATTATTGATTGATTAATGTAAGGATATTTCTGCATATTTTATTTATCAGCGGGCTTATTTCCATGTGAGCATATATCTATGTGAGCTTCTTCCGTGTGAGTATATTTCTAAGTGAGCATTTTTCCATGTGATTTTTTTTTTCTATGTGGGCATACTTCTGTGTGAGCTTTTTTCCTGTAAGCATTTATACCTGTGAGCATTATTCCTATGGGCTTTTTTCCTAGAACCCTTCAGGACATCCTCTCGTATCCCGAGATATTGCAACTTAACTAGGACATCCTGAGGATGTTCTGTGCTATGGGGGGGGGGAATTACATTAGTTATTTTTTACACTTACACCTATTTTTAGCTGATATAAGTCTCAAATAAATTAATTATCATATACGTAAGGCTTTCTAGGGAAAGATTTTGCCATCCTTTAATTTTGTTGCATGGTGCTTCTATAAATTTTACTGCCCACTGTGGCTGCACCAGCTCTGTTTTTATCCTCGGCTTATTTGAATAAAAATCAGTTACTTTCAAATCAAACAGTACTAAATATAATCTTTTGGCCTTATGTGCATCATTTACAAAATCTTTTTTTTGCATATGGAAAGAAATTTTTGTTAAATTTCTCGCTATCAACATAATCAGCTTTTCACAGTGCAGTTAGCTAAAATCTGTAATCATTGCCAAGCTTAATGTTAACATAAATGGTAAAACATTAGCATGCTCTTTAGTATTTGACTATTAATACTTCAAAAAATTCTCAAGCTGCTGTGTGTTAATAGTCATGTGGTAATGGAACCAAAAACTAACAGATAATGATTCACCAGGTTGTTATCAGGGATATAAATTTATAATTAATTAGGTATAAAATCAATGATGTTTGGGTTTGAGATGTACGTCAAGCAGAAAGGTGGCTATGGAAACCAATTATTGATCATACAGCTTTATGCTAATAAGTTATTGTTTCTTGAATATGGAGGTATTTTATTTAGAGTGAAATTAAAAATCAGAACTCTCCACATATTTTATTATGAAAAAATAAGATATCTGCATGCATAAAACATACAAAAAAATTTTTTTTTTTTAATATGGTGGTGATTCAAATTTTAGATCATTGTGGATATTGGACATTCATATTTCAGACTTTTTTGTACTATATATGCTTGTTATCACATATTTATTACTTCCATTCTTAGAATTAATATTAAATGTTTTACTAAAGAATAAATAAATACATAAGAATTCTTCGAAATAACCACACTGCAAGCAAGCCTTTTGTAATCATGGTTCGTGCTGATGGGCCGGATTTCGTACACTTTCTTCCCAAATGGTATCAATCTGAGTAGAGCAGTTCATCTTCAATGTTGATTTGTATATGTTCCTACCATTTGTTTCTGGCATCTGACTACAAAAACTAAGAGTGTGCATGAAATGATGATGCTTTGACTAAATCGCAAGTGTATGAGTGGTTTTTGCGTATTAAAAACTATGAATTGGGTATCCGCTGACAAGTAGAAATGAGAAAAATACTAAGAAAGTGGGAAAAGTGTGTTGATGCTGGTGGAGAACACTCTGAAGGAGACTAAATTGTGTAGTGTAAAGCAGTGCTCTGCAATCTTTTCTCACATGCGACGCACAAAAAATCTTTCTGGAATTTCGTGGCACACCAAAAGCTAATGTATATATGTATTGATTTATACACAAAATTTACAATAAATTTTTCTTTTTAATTTGAAAAATATACAATTATAAAACCATAACATATTTATTTATATGCAATCATAATAATTATCAATGTGATACCTGCGCTTAAAAAAAGTTATATATTTTTTAGTTCCGAGTTATCAAGGAAGTGCCGAAAAAATTCAAATGCTGACACACTTACAATCACACACACAACCACACAACAGTGAAATATATAAAAACATTAAAAATAGACATTATTAAGGAAAAAAAAAATGTCATTGTGTATTAAATACATGATAAAAAATTGCAAAATGTCAAATGCATGTATTTGATTGCGACACACCTATATCCTACTTATGGCACACTGGTTGCGGAGCACTGGTGTAAAGTATAATGCAATTGCGAACTCTCCTGGTGAAAGGTTTTGTTAAAAAATCTGATTTCCCAAAAATGCTACGACAAAGTGTTATTTTATTATTAATGCCCCTGGTTTTATACTTTTAATATACAGACTTAATTTCTTGGACATATTTCAAGATGAATATATATATATATATCTAAATGGCCTTGCCTATCATAGGTTCAGTTATTTTTGATTACCCCTGGTATATATATATATATATATCTTTTTCCACTTGAAAACTTTGTCAAGTCTAATGCACATTTTTCTCTCATACAGGAATTTGCTGAAAACATAATTGAAGATACTCATAAATACTGGCAGAAGTTAATCAAAAGTGAAACTGATGCTAATGAAATTAATTGGTAAAAAATTTCACTATTTTTTAGACTAAAAATTTCAAGTATTTGAAAGAGTTTGAAAATTAAATCATAATCATAGTGGATAAAAGTTAGTACAGTAAAATATGTTTCAGTATCTTATGGGTAATAATTTAAATGTGCACAATATGGCACTCTACCATTAGTCTGACATTAAAATTAAATATTAATGTTTCCTTGCAGGATTGCACTAGTGTTGAATGATGTATGATCAGTTTCTTTGGGTTTTCTCACCTTCTCTGTTTAGTCTTTATTCTTAAAATCCTAACCACACTCCTCCTTATTGTTTTCTCATTCAATAATTGTTTATTATTTAGTAGTGTGCCTCTGGTGGGTGTATCATTCAGTTTATGCTCTTGAATTCTTTCCTTCCAGTTTGGGGAATGCTTGTGTGACAAAATTTGAAAACCCTCCTCAAAGATTGGCATCTCTGTATACATAACAAGGAGCTCTCATTGAATTTTCTGAAAACTGAAGAGTTTTATTCATTAACATAAAAAAATGATGATATTAGGCATTTGCAGATTATTAGAATTTTACTGTATTAACAAAGAAATAGATTAGTTTATTAAATATTGTTGCATTTCTGTATGGGTTTAGGGGTTGCAGCGATTAATGACAACACTTGGTGAAAAATGAAAATAAAATTTATTAGCCAGTATTACTCAGGACAGCCAAAAATACATTTACAGTCATTGAAAAATTACGGCAAACATGCTGAAACAACAGCAACACAGCCTTCAGGCTATAATGGTGAAGACAGCTTCATGGCAAAGCACGAGAGTACAGCTCCCGATTTGGCTCAGTTGTTCTCAGAAGTCTACGTACTCTCGAGACTCTCAACAGTACAACTCATGGTACACTCGTGATACTCCAACGGCCAATTCGACACTAGACTGATGATCAACTTGCTAGACTAACAACTTGCTAGACTGATGATCAACTTGTTTGAAACACATTCGATAGACTGACGAGCAACTCGTTAGATTAGGAACCACTCTCTACTCAGAGTACCAGTAGGGTTTATATAGCTTTCGGCCTGCCTTCGAAAATATTCTGGGCCAAACCAGCAAGAATTTGTTTTCCCTCTGGCATATCACTAATTTTGTCTCCAAATATGGCAACTCTGCCTTCCCTTGCCACTTTCTGAAGGGAAGTTATTTTTTCACAACTGGACATTTTGTAACACTGCCCCCTCCAAAGAACTGCACATCCTGGGCAGTAAAATCCTTGGTCAGAAGCTAAATTCAATACAAGCAAAATGTAAGAAAACAAACAAATAACATAACTAAAAAAAAAAAATATTTATACTATGTACAAGTTATATATACAAATCAACCACATAATAATTTAAAATTTTATACATTAAAGTTCAGAATGAATATCAGTCTCAGACTTTTTATTAAGTTGTACCCGGGTCAAATACTCTTGTATTGCAGTTCTCCGATGTATTTCTGTTTTGCATACACAATCTGAAGATTCAGTCCTTTCAGACTTTTCATCCACATGAAGATCTGAAACAGTTTGTTCATCACTCTATAGTTTATTCACATCAGATGTACAGTTCACCTTGGTATTTTTAGCAGTACTTCCTCAAAACTCGTTTCCATGTTTGCATTAGAGTTATGAACATAACCCAATCCTTTACAAGCAGAGATATCTGTCCTGGGAACTTGTAGTATGAGACACATAGTTTGTGAAGTCGGTGTATTTTCTTGCCATACTGGAACACTCTGCTTAAGCTGTACATTAGCTTCTCTCATCTCTGCATCACATGAATTTTCAGATGGTTCAGTACTTGCTAACTGTGACTTCACTATCAGTTTCTACCAACTTAACAGTTGCATTTTCACTCTAATTCAGCCACTTGAGAATCAAGAACTTAATTTCTGTGAATTATTTTTTCATCTTTTCCAGATGCTTTACTAACCACTTCTTTTATTTCTTGATCTTTAAAAACAGTATTATCACTTTCTTCCATTTCAATTTCAGATACTTGAAAATTCAATCTCGTTAGATGTTTCATCCTTCATTTCTTGATCTTTCTCAGGCAGTTCATCAGCTACTTTTCATTCCTTCCTCCTTTGATTCTCCAAATGCCACTACTTTCATTTTCACATCTTCTGTTTTGGCTCCAATTTTCTCTCTTAATTCCATGTATTCATCGCATGTCGCTTCTAATTTTCTTTTGCTTCATTTCCATGCGCTGAAGTTGCTCTAGCAGCTTTACTTGGCCAGTTTTTATTTCTTCTTTAACTGAGTTGACAGTGCCTTCCATCTTTTCTTGGAATGCAGCAAAGCCAGTCACGAGCTGTCTTAACTGTTCTTCCATCGCTGGCATTCAACCCATTCGTGACACCAGTTGTTGAATTTCTGTACGGGTTCGAGGATTTGGAATGATTATTAACGACATTTAATGAAGAATGAAAACATAATTTATTAGCCAGTACTACTCAAGACTGCTCCAAAAACATGTTTACAGTTGTCAAAAAAGTACGACAGCCTTCAGGACCAGAGTACAGCTCTTAACTCGGTTCGGTCGTTCTCAGAACTCTATGTACTCTCGAAACTGTGCACACTGTAACTCGCGATGCACTCACTAGACTCCAATGGCCAACTCAACACTAGACTGACTATGAGACATTCTCTACTCTGCGTTTATATAGCTTTTAGCCTGCCTTCGAGAGTATTCTGGGCCAAAGATATAAGAATTTGTTTCAAAATGTTCTCTCTCCGCCCATGGCATATTGCCAATTTTGTTGCCAAACGGGCGATTTCGTGACACATATGGCAACCCTAAACCCACTTTGCGAAGAAGCTATCTTTCCGCAGCTGGATATTCCATAACAATATATATAAAATAACTGAAACATTTTCAGATTTAAAAAAATACATGGATCTTTTTTTTTTTTTTTTTTTTTTTTTTTTTTTTTTTAATGTACAATATTTCTCCCTGTTATTACTCTGTTGCTCTAACATCTCATATAAACTAAACTGCAGAATTTCCTCAGATTGTGATTTTTAATAGCACTTTTTAACTAAAGATTTAAAAAATTGAAAACCTTTTTAATCGTGACCATGCAAATTTCAAAAGTATCTGATTATTATACGAGGAGAGAGTAGAATTTTAAGTTTTTTGAGAAATTATATTCATAATTTAGTGCTAACCACTTGAAAACTTCTATGGAGTTGGTTTCATTTTCAGACTTGTTTTACAGATATACAATATTAGATTATACTTAATAATACATCCTATTTCTGCTTTATTCTTTGAATGGTGTAACTAGAGTTGATTACTTAGATAACTGATTTAATTTATTTCTCTTTGTTGAAAGGTCTTTAATTTCTTTTTAATTATATGATCCTTCATTTAAATATATCATCACATTTCTTAGCTTCCAGTTATCATAATTATCAGTAATTCCAGACTGTGAGTTTTTAGAAAAAATGAATAGGAAAAAAACATAGACATTATATGTAACTGTATGAAAATGTATATTGTTCATGGGTCAATCAACTTTGTGTTTAATATTTTTTTGTAGCACATGTGTCACTGTTGAAGATAGCTTAAATAAAATCAATGTCATGGATGCTTTAGCAATACTTCAACAGTCAGATGAACCTGGACCTCCTCATGAAGTAGATCCAATAGGTAAATGTTTCAGTAGTGTAAAGTTCTTAATACTTTATTACTTCAGAGTTAAGTTATACTTTCTATACAGATTTTTAAGTCATAAAATTAGGGTGCAGCTTAAATTTAAGGCAAATATTTTACCATCTTACTTCTCTGTAAATTATATAGTTTATCATATTTATTAGCATCTGTTTAAAGAGTGAAAAATGTTTATTTTCAATAAATTAAAATCATTTTTAATTTGCCAGTTTTAAAATCCTACCGAGTAGCTACTTTGTATTAGCTTTTCCAATTTTAAAATCCTTACACATCCTATAAACACACTAGTGTGCAAAACTTAAGCAACTTTTATGATTTGGGCTATAATTCTGCAAAATATCATGACATGAAAATATATGAAATTCATACTACAGATGCACAGTATACTACTTAAAAGATAAGGAAAGTATAGTAGCAACCTATAGTAATATAAAATGTATTCCAAATTGCAATATATGTTATCACTTATTTGGCTATGTTACCTATATTACATGATTATTACCATATTAGTTTTAATAAAATTTTTATTATAGTAAACTTGATATGTAAAAGTATGTAAATAGCAAAAAAAGAATAGAAAATTTATTATTATTCACAGAACGATATGCTGTTGGTACAAAAAAACTGTCTAGTCAAGAGGAAGAACAATAAACCAAAGAGCCTTAGTAAGGTGTATGGCATCCCTAACTGCATGCAGTTTGTTGATACTCAACACAATATTTTCTCACAGTTCTTGGGGTAAGAGTTTCTATTCTTCAAGGAGCATTTGTTTCACTTGTTTAGTGTTCTCCAGAGGGTAAGATCATTTGCCAAGGCATCTATCTATAGTATCCCACATATGGTCATCGTGATTTAAATCAGAAGCATGCCCATTAATCCATTCTTTGTATATCTCCACTTTCCAGGAGCTCCTCGACAGCATGACTCTTGTGTGGCCGTTCATTGTCATACAAAGTTGAGAACAATGGCATCGTTGAAAAGGTTATCATGGTGCAGGATAACTTCATCACAATAACAATCCCCAATAAATGAACCTTTATCAAAAATCAGTCTGTTCTATATATCTATCTCAATCTGTTCATCATAATGCTTCCCCCATAAAAGCTCGATTCTTCCCCTGATATTAGTGGAATGAAAGCATGTCCCCAATGTCTGGCCACTGAAATAAAGAGCACACAGTAAAACTTTCTAGTTATGACACCCAACAATGCAAAACCGACACCGCTTTGCCAAAAAGAGGCAATTGATTTTGGAAATTTTGACTCAAAGGAATTCTGGTTTCTGAGAGCGATGTAAAGTTAGCCCAAGCTTGCCAATCATTCTACCATGTGTAAAGGCATCCTGATGTTTTCTTGTAGCCATACTGCACATACAATCTCACTTTTACTTGCAGAAGAATGTAAAAGCACCTGTGCCCCCCCTTTTTTTTTAAGTTCCCTTGCATAGGCATGCCGACTCCTAGTGTTTTGTGTGCTCTGATGTAATGGTGCTGATATTTGCATCATTTTTCTACTGAGTTGGATTTTAATTGTATTGTTCGCAGAAAGCTCTATTCAACAATTTTATGGTTGTAAGTTGAAAAATTAATTTGTTGCATAAGTTTTGCACACTAGTGAAAATACATTATATAATAAATATATTACACACTGTTTGCTGATTTTTAGATGTTCTTAATTATTCAGTGAAAACTCAACTAGCTGGAAAGATTGGGAAATGCCAGATTCCACATAAGTGAAAATTGCTGATAGTTGAGCATACAAAAAATGGAATTCATGTGGCCAAATCAATGGGGAAAATTTTCGCTCTAAAATTATAAAAACAGTCATTTGATTTGACACTAACTTGAATATAAAAAGCCTACATTTAAAATTACGTAAGATTTCGAGAGAAGGATAAATGCATTTGCCAATGTATTTTGAGATAGCATTCAATTTGATTATGAATGCCCAACAAACTTGAAAGTTGGCGGATGTGTCACCAATCATTCTGGTGGAAATTTTAACAAACATATCATTCTTTATTTAGATAATAAAGAGAAACAAATTATGGAATAAATAACTTCACATTGCTTATCGTAATTTTTCATGTTACATCACCATTTTTTATCTGTTGCAAAGTTACATATTGTAGCTGTTTTTTGTTTAACTTTGAAAATACTCCTTCATGTAGTTCTGAATATTAATATATATATTTTTAATTTTGAGGGAAAAATAGAATTTATATCGTTTTTTACAAAGATTAAACTGGTTTATGTTTAATAAAATAAATTTACGTTAAATGCAAATAAACATCTTATTTTATTCTGATGCTTATCTATTGTTGGCGCTAAACCACACTATTTGATGAAAATTTTATAGCATTAACCCGTCTCTCATACAGGCAGACAGTTCAAATATGATTTGTTGCGCCCGTATCTCACGGGGGATGCACTTTCTCAATAAAAAATTTATTGCACCCATATCAATTTTACTTACACAGCAGATTCACAGATAGCAGCACAGTACCTTTATCTTGAATATACAGAAGCAGTATGTAGATTTAGAATATTTTCCCATTAGAACAAGTTTTGAAAAAATTCAGTTTCAGTGCTTTTTTTTTTTTTTTTTTTTTTTTTTTTTTTGTTTGGTTAATATTTGTAAAACGAGTAGCTCAAGAGAACAGGAGGATTTAAGTCTTGAAGAATCGAGAAGTGATTCAAAAGTCAGCTTTTTTTTCAGATGCTTTTGATTTAGAAGCACTGGAATTTGAAGCGAGTGATAATAGTGACAACCTGCACAAATTTAACTAGGGTGCCAACGGAACGAATCTATGCCAGATGTCCCAGATATTTGTTTTCCAAATATTCAGTTTAAATTATTACCTAAAATTAATATTTCAAGTCAGTTCAGGCATTTTTACAATATTATGAGCATTTTATAAATTTGGAATAGTAGATTATAATTGTAAAGAAGATTATTCATTATGCTGAGCAATCAGGTAATGTTGCTTATAAAAGTAAACTAAAAGGCAGTAGAGAATGGAAACCTGTATCGCTACAAGTAATGCATTTGTTCCTTGCGCTTTCAATTTTACAAGGTATTATCAAAGAACCCGAAGAAAGCATGTATTGAAGAAAATATTGGGAAAATCCTTTTTTGATAAAATTATGTCATATGATTGATACTGTGAAATAAAAAAAAAATACTTGCATTTTGTGAATAGTGATTCTTATAATCCAGAAAATCATCAAAACTACAAAATTTAGCCTAGATGTGAGCATTTGAATAAAGTATACCAAACAACAATTACTCCTGAAAGAGATATTACCATAGATAAAACTTGAAAATACCCTTGGAAAAATTTGGTATCAAGACATACATGCTAAGTGAATCTAGTAGTGATTTATATTTAGTCATTTATTTATATATAGTGGGTGAGAAACTATATTTCATCCTAAATGCTGATGTCTATCGGTATCTCCACAACTTATGACTTTGATGATTGCCACTATTGAAAAAAGGCTATTACATCATCTTAGATAATTATTATGCTTCACCAGAATTACGTGATATCCTTTTGACTTAAACAGATATGGTTGGAACTATTTAGACACAACAAAATGGATTTACTTTTAGCATCAAAACAATTAAAATCTGATGAAATTCTCTCATGAAGACATGGGAATGGAAGAACAAAAAGGAAATAACAATGTTATCATTTCATGATTCTGAAACTGTTGAAGTAATGACCCCCTTTCCAAAAAAGAAATTGAAAACCAAACAAATAAATTTGAATTACAATAAAACAATGGGAGGTGTGGACATTGTAGATAGTACCTTTCTAGTTATCAAGTAGTAAGAAATGGTAGGAAAAAATATTGTGAAAATGTACTTTTTCACCTTTTAAGACCAAGATGTTTTCAAGTTTATATAAAGGTGGGGGAAAAACACATGAAGTTTAGATTAGATTTTTATTGATGAATATCATACTTTTATCCATTTCCTACCAGATTCCACCCAGAGATAATTGATGCCTTGAAACTCAAAATCGAAGTTGCCATTCATGTGATTGGAGCCCAAACAATTGAAAATGTACTGAATAATTGGGTTGATCAGATGGGGAATTGTTAAGCCAACCTTGCCAGTCATTTGAATGATATATTTCATTTTTAAATGAAAATGTCCAATCTTTCTGATAAACTCATAATTTTGAAAAAATATTGATAAATTTTTTTTTTTCAATGCCCGATTCAAATTCCGACAGTTAGATGGCCCACCCTGTATTCGTATGTTTCCAACATTTTATCAGTTTCTTTTGGTGTAAACAACATATTAAAATAGTTATTACGGCTATTGACTAAACATGATCTGATGCAATTGCATGGAAATGCAACGCAAGAGTAACATTGGGGGGGGGAACTAAAAACAAACTTTATACAATTAAAATTTAACAATCAATGCTTAAAGAGTTTGTATTTACAGATTACTGTTTTTACATGAGTATAACTGTTTGATTAAAATACAATATTTTAAAATAATTTTTTTGACATATCAAATTGTGATATAGTTAGTATTGCTATAAAATACTCTTTTTCAATGATTTCAATTTTGGATGTTATGTGTAGTCCATACATAGCATCTGAAATTAAATAAATTTTTAAAAACAATATATTAAGAGAATTTTTTTTTAATCCTATTAGGCTTCATTCAGATGGCAGCATAAATAATACAGAGGCATAGCCACAAGGAATAAAATGCGGGAATTCTGTTCACACCTGCAACACAGGGGCTTAGAGAAGCTAAGTTTGCACATGCATGGATGTGTTTACAGCTTTCCCACTGTTTCCCCCATTCACGTTTCATGCATTCGTTCTGGTTGGTCAACGCTTATCCTATGTCGGCATAAAGTTGAAAACTTTGAACTTTATGAGTTAAACAATGAGTTCAGACACTTCTAGCTAGTAATTGACGAGCCCCCCCCTCCCCCCCCAAAAAAAAAAGAAAAACTACTGAACAGCAAACAAATACGTTGAAAATAATTGCTTAAATTTTTAAAAACAATATATTAGAGAATTTTTTTTTAAAATCCTATTAGCCTTCATTCAGACGCAGGGTTCGCAGCGGTCCTTACAAGTGCTTATAAGTCCTTATATTTGAAAATAAAATATAAAGGCCCTTATAAGTGCTTACTTTTTCTTTAAAAACCTTATTTTTTTGTTTTTAGTGCTTATTTTTTACTTTTAGTGCTTTTTTTTTTTAATTCTTTTTTTTTTTTTTTAATGAACGCGCACTTTTCCCTGTACCAAAGCCAATAAACTACTAATACTAGTACTAAATAAACAACTTTTCTTTCTTATATGCAACGTCAGATGATGAATCATACTCCCGAAAATTGCTTTTCCCCCCTTTCTCTGCGTTAGCGTAACCTGTGGTGCGCGCGAGAGTACAGACAGGTGCAGGTCGTTCTATAGTCAAAGAATTGCGAAAGTGGTAGATTGCATTCTCGTTCCGCGTGGTCAGTTCATATTCGTGTTTATTATGATGTTATGCTTATATTATATTATGAGCATATGCATGAATATTTATAATAATATAGTTGCAGTAACTGCTGAAGTATAGATAAACTTCCAAAAATGGGTGTGTTTTTTACACAGATTAGCTTTCTAGGGAATAATATTCGGAATGTCTTAAATAAAAGGAAAGGGGTTTTCATCCGCAGAGAACCCGTTAGCGCCGTTGCATTCTTACTCGCCAAGCTCGCGGTTCATCGACGATGAGCTGAGCCGTAAACGTGGTTTTTAGTGCATGTAAATTCAAGTTAGCAGATAAAACAATTATTAAGCATATGGTAGTAAATTTCACAGATAATATGCATGTAGATGTAAAACTAAAGGGTTAAACGTGATATACGAAAATAAATTTGTATTAAATTCAAGTTAGCACAGAAAAGAATATATTATTAAGCATAAGACAATATATAAGCATTTATAACGGAAATAAAAATTCATTTAAAAAATATAAATTAGTATTAATATACTGAAATTAACCGGTTAAACGTGATATACGAAAAAAATTTGTCTTAAATTCCAGTTAACACAGAAAACAATATATTCCTTACACCAGCAATGGTTTGCTAATTTTAATGCATCCATGGTGATGCATCAAACTATTCTGTTATCTTAGATAATGAATAATATTTTTTATTTCAATTTAATCATCTATTTATGTCACACCTACCATCCTTTAAAAGGTTATTGTTAGAAAAGCATTAACAATATATTATCTTGTTAAAATTTTACGCCATAAAAATTGATTTATTCTCATAATTTTATATGACAATAACCAATAATAAAAATAAAAGCATTACTTAATTATTTAAAATACACATGCACATTTTTGCGGCATACGGAAACAAAGTATTTTAGAGGTTGGAAACCTCATGGTTCTTAGAGCTGTTAATAATTAAGAGCACAACGTGAACAGCCGTGTTACAAATTGGCATTCACCCCTCCCGCCGTATTTTCTTCCTTTCATCCCGAACCGAGAACCGGTATCTAGTATCTACGAAAATATTTCTATCTATTCGTTGTTAAAAAAATTCAGAAAAACTAATAATAAATAAGAGAAAGAAGAAATATAAATCTGCAAATGCGAACAACGACAGTCTTAATTCAACAAAATAAACGCAAGAGGAATGGTTGCAAACTTCGAACAAGCGAATGGGATAAATCTGAAGGGTTACCAAGTTAGAACTATTATCGCCAAAGTTGGCAATGTTTACATTTACCGGGTTCTCTGCGGAAGTGCTTCCAAGGAAAGTAATCGAATAGTCAAAATATTTATTTTTTTTTTTTTTTACATTATACAGTACGGAGATTGGGAGATTCTCCCCTTTCTCCGTAAAATCTCTAATATTGAAGCAGCGCACTTTTATTTTTTTTTGTCACTGTCCAATCTGGATTGAATAGGAGTAAAAGTTTTTGCCGTCTACCCAACCCAAGCGAAGATTGATTCTATTTCGGAAATTTAATGCAGTCTGTTGAAAATTAGAATCAGAAACACCCCAGATTAGTAAGTCTCTTTCTTTTCCTTTATTTAGTTCTTTATTCTCCGAATACGGGCAGCTGTTGATTCCGATTGCGTAATATCACATGTGTAAGAATTATGCCGCACGTATTGAGCCATAACGTTTGCAGTATTTTGCAGAGATAATTTAATTTTGATGTTCACTCTGAGATTTGTTTATGAAAACTTAAAAGAGTTTTACTGTGCTTTCTAAGCAGAATATTTCTCAGTTCCGTTGGTCTATTTTTATATGATGCACATATCGAAATGTCAAAATCATTTATTTAGCCGAGAAATCTAAAGAACGGCTACAATCTCCCCCACTCCTCTTTTTCCAGTTACTATCCGGAATATTCGGCTATTTCCGAGTATGCGGGTTAGTTAAGCTTTTACTGTTAAAGGAGACTGCATGAAGCAATTACACGTCTTCTGATTTCAGAAATGTGCCTCTTTTTTACTTAAATTACTTTGCTTGGAATATATGTTAAGGGAAAACTGTTATGCAATGAAAATTTAGAAAATGTTCAGAATTTTGATTTAAGTTAAATTATTTAAATATTAATATGAGTTGAAAAATAAATTGTATTTATTGTTAGGTGCCAAATGAATACAATTAATATGGCTTATTATTATTTATTTTCTATATTTTGAACTGAAATTTCATCATTAAATCTTGTAATATAGTTTAGTTCTGCATAGTTTTTTCCTCTCATTGTAAACTAATTCTGTAAATTGAACTGTCATTTAAAATTTAAAAAAAAAAAAAAAAAAATTAATTGTTTTCCATGGTTGAGGTAATGCTCATTTTCTTAATAAATATTGCATTGCTCATATTTTAAATTACAAGTCTAATTTTTCTTTTAAGGTTATGCAGTTGTGTATAATGTAATTTGAAAAGTGCTTATTTTTTTAACTAAAATGTGGCTACGAACCCTGAGACGGCAGCATAATAAAGCTTTTTAACGATTGATTGCATATTTTAATTAAAAAAATTCTTTACTTAAATGAATGCTATATTAGATGCATAATATAAATAAATTTGAAACATTAATTTTATATAGATACTCTGAATTTATTGAATAAATTAGTCATTAGGATACTCTTTTCACACAGAAATAGGAGATTACGATTAAAATTTGTGGTTTTATTTTCAAAGCCTTTTTCAAAACTTGATATTTATTGTCATATAATCTCACCTTTGAAATTTTTCTTTGCAGTTGACAAATGGCACTTTGTACAGCTGAAATGATGGGAAATGTACTATCTATTGAAGACATACAAGTCATTTTCAAGAAAATTAATTGCTGATTATCTCACGCCTCCAAAGAAGTTTTAAAACTAAATTAATTTTTCTAAAAATGCTTCTACTATCCCACTATTATTTTTATATTTTAAAATATTTAATTTGAGAGTGATCTGTGATAACAGGAACAAATTCATAAATAGGAATCATTTTATTGATGGATAAAATACCTTAAACTTCCTATAATTGAAATAATTAAGGCTGAAACAGATTAATCAATTTAAAATTACTCTTGAAAATTTGCGTGACTTAATCACACTAATATTTTGTATAAGATTTTGTCTATGTATGTTTTGCATTAATTACAATGATTAGTCGAGACATATTTTTCAGTTCACATATCTTTTATATGTTAATTTATTATAAGATTGAAATGCAGAAAACTTTCATTAAGATTTTTGAATGTGATATTTTCTTAGAGTTATATATTTTATGAAATTATTAAAACTAATTCACAGTTAATAGCTAAATAGCTAATTAGTTTATGCTAAAAGGTTTTAATAATTAGTACAATATTAGCTAAATAGCTAATAAACTGTTCAAATTTTACTTTGGACAATAAATATTAAGCTATAGTGTAACTTAAATCATAATTTCATTTATTCCACTCAGAAATGTATATTTATATATTTTCAGTATTTGTTTTCCCACAAAACTGTTTTTGAAAAGAAATTCGCATTCTTTTGGCATCAAATCATTTAAAAATCAAAATAAGATTATCAATGAAATTTATAACAGGAAATGTAAAATTTACCTATGTTAATTTCAATTCTGAACGATGTTTAAAAGTATAATTTTTAATTGCTTTCTTGGAAAGAATATGACTATTTATATATATATAGGAAATGTTACGATATCTGTTTATGTAAATTATTTTTTAATCTAGTTGCTCTCTGTTTATAAGGTAGACATCCCATGACATTTCTAAAATTTTTATTTGAACAGAATTGTTGACATGCATATATATTTTCATTGTTATGATAATAAAATTTTACATTTGTCAATGTGTATTTTTGTCTAGTGTAATTTTTACATTTAACTGTATCACAAAGTTTGCTTCATCGTGCCAAAAATGTACACTTTTTCCCAGTATCCATCTCACTATCATGGTTGAAATGTACTACAGTACATAGTCTGAGATCCGAATGTCCAATATTCGGGGGGAGTGCGTTCAATTTTTTAATGCTTTAAGCATGCCCATTTTGTTTTCCCTGTAAGAAAATGTGCAGAATCCTGATTCTTAATTTCACTTTGGCACTAAACAAAATACCTCATTATTAAAGAAAGGATCATTACAACAATAGCTGCACATCTGCTTGTTAAACAACTGTGTCTGCATCTTAAACAGAAACATCTTTAATTTTACAACTGCTAATATTTTATATCTTTGATGCCAACCTGGCAAATCATTATTTATTATATTTCACTTTCATTACCCTATGTCATGTTTATTAACACATGACAACTTGAGTAATGACTCGTGCTGGAATGCCTAAACAATTTTTTATAAACAAAGAGTATGGAAACTTTTTATGTTGACATTATGCTTGGCGATGATTACAGATGCACTAAATGCTGACAAGGAAGAGTTTAACAAAAATTTCTTTTTAAAAATAGATTTCATTAATGATACTTTTAGGCCAAAAGATTACATTTAGTGCTAATTGTTTACTATATAAATCAGCACCAGAGCTCGTATTTAAGTATTTGTAGGAATTAGTTATTCATAATTAAGATAAGTATAATAAATAACTAACACAATTCAGGCTTAATTGTCTTGGTGTGCGATAGAGGCAAAACAAAATTTAGCGGAACAACTTGTCTTTCGTCGCCATCCTCATAATACATAGCCAATAATGATGAGCAGACGCTATTAAATATGCTAAAATTATACTTTACTGATTCCAAGGAATTTCAGTTAATATAGCAGATTGTGCTGTTCTTTAACTTTCTGATTTGATCCATCTTATTTTTTGCATGCTGTTATTACAACAGCAATTTTATAAAAAATTAAAAGTTTCAGCTTTCGATTATCTTGGAAAGACTAATTCTGGAGCTGCAACAGGATCTAAAAGCGAAAGCATACTTCAAAATGGATAAAGGTGTATATGTCTCAGTATTATATGAGGAGTATGGCATTGGAAAGTCAACTGTAATATGACATAAAACGGAAAAAGGAACTTTTTGAGGAAAAATTATTCATTATGCTAAAAATACAGATCATGGCACAGTGACGACTAAATGGGTCAGACAATGTCGCAGTGAGGACGGGTCGAATGCTAATGGCTCTAACTAAAATATTTCACTAAGAAATGAACTTAAAAGCTGAGTGAACATATTCGACAGGTTGGTTAACCATATTAAAAAATCGCCATGGTATAAGACGATTGAGAATTTCAGGTGAAAAATTTATGCTTAACTATTTGCAGATGAATTCATTTAATTCATTAATAGTTCAAAATAAGTTCAACTCATTAATAGTTAAAAGTAATCCAAAACAAATTTACAATGCTGATGAAACAACTTTTCTGGCTATATGTGCAACAAAATAGATTAGAAACCTTTATAAAAAATGCTCTAACTGATGTACTCCAACTAACAATTTTACCATGTGCAAATGCTGCAGGAACACGCAAGTGTAAACTTTTCATAATTGGGAAAAATACATGGCCTCAAGCATTTAAAGAGTAAAGAGTTTCCCATTATATATTGTGCAAATAAAAGAACACGGATGATACAAGTGTTAATGAATGGTTGTTTTGAAAATATGTACCCGAGGCTTGCAGAATTCGGTTGGTTTATGGGGTACTATGCGATATATAATAGTTGACAAAAATTGTTCTGATTTTAGTGAAAGATAATGTATCTGTATTATTCTTTTCTCCAAATTTTGTACATCCACCATTCAGCCTATGGATATCGGAATAGTGCACACGCTGAAAATGCAAATATAAACTAGAATTTTTAAAATCTGTTACACTTCTTGAATAATGGCAAGACTGTTCAGGAATTTTTGAAATATTATGGAACATCACAAGATCGTCAGAGGATATGTCTCCAGATACTTTCAAAACTGCTTGGCATAATTTATGGCCAGCTAGCATGTTGAGGTTTCATGTTAAGGACGATGAAGATGATATCCGTGAATGTGAAGGTTTTCAGATATCGCAAACCAAAGGTTAAATTTTCCTATTAATGGATTTATTAATAAAATGTGAAGAAATGGTTATATATGAAGATGATGTAACAGAATAGTTTTTCATTACAATAACAATGCTCCAATCATCAATCAATTAACGAACCGTGAAATTTGTGGTATAGTTCTAAATCCAAAAAATACCGCTACCCGTAGTGAAGAAAGTGACAGAGACGAAAATGAAAAAATTTCGAATGGCAAGTTAGTTGGAATTCTTGACACAGCAACTACAGGACTTGAACAGCGGAACTTTGAAACTCAATAGGAAATTATGCCTATAGAACTGTAGAGAAAGTATAAGCACAAACAATGAAGAAACTTAAACAATTTACAATCAAAGAAATGTTTAAAGTAAACAAATAAATATTAAGCTTTTTTTGGTAAATTTGGATTCCCTTATGCTTCATTTGTTTTATAAATATATATTTCAGATTTTTAATTTTATAATTTCTATGTGCCATCTTACTACATTTAAACTGACGATATAACGTCTGGAATTGTTGAAGTCCCGATGTCGGACTTTGTACTGTATTTATTTCAGTCTGTTTGAAATGATATGTCATATTTCAAGTTGCATGAAATTATTTATTGTTTTAATCCAAACACATTCTGAATGCCAGACTTACGAAATTCTACACTATCCTCTTCATTTTATTATATAAAATAGCTTAATTTCTTTATTATGAAACATGTACTCTTCACACCAACATAACGAATATAATTTGCCACGAGTTCCTTATCCTGACTTTTTTTTTTTTTTTTTTAATTTCATATAATTATACAAAATGTAAGTGAAATAAGAAAAAATAATAAATGGCCATTAACATGGTCAAGTTTAAAATTACATAAGGATATATCTCATCAAATATTAAAAATAAGTTTATTTAATACAATTTTGTATTTTACCTGATTTCTTCTTATTTTTTCTAAACTAACATGAATTTAATTTGCCACAAGTTCCTTGTACTGAATTTTTTTTTAATTTCATAAAAAAATTAAGTGAAATAAGAAAAAATAATAAATGACAAGTTTAAAATTACATAAAGATATATCTGATCAAATATTAAAAATAAGTTTATTTATTACAATTTTGTATTTTACCAGATTTCTTCTTATTTTTTCCAAACTGACGTTTAATTTTCCATATATTTTTTATTTGATTTAGTTCAGGACACATATCATTGCAGACTGCATTTGTTTTTTGTGTTCTAGGAAAATTATTCTCTTCTAAATACTCGTAGCTTCTGAAATTTACAGGATTTTCAATATTTGCTGTCATCCTAAAGTTATCATTATTTTCACTGACTTTTCTCTTCTTTAACTGCATGCAAAACTTTTTCCGTGTTTTTTCCATGTTTGCTTCTTTACTCTTTAGAGCATTTTTTACAGCATAGTTCAACTTTGCATTTCCTGGAAAGGGAAAAAAAAATAATTCAATCAACACAATTTAAGAAATATAATATCGATTACACTGAATGACTATTCGTGATGGTAGGGCAGCTACGAAACATTGGGTATTAGCGGTCATCATGAAACCTTTGGGTACAGCTGCCACTCCACCTAAAATCGGCATTCAGGGAAAGTTATGTGGGTTTGTTTATTTTACTACTCTGCGTGTAAAATAGGAAGCTGCTCTAATCATTTCATTATATGATTAGTAACAGTCAACAGCATGCCTTAATTATATACATTTTTTAATACATAGATAAGCTTATGGAAAACAAATTGGTATGTTTTACTTACAGTCTGAATTTAGTTTATTTCAGGATGAGTGCAAAATGTTTGAAAGGAGAACAATGGATAAAGGAAATAATTTATTCAGGAAGTGATTCTGATGAAGAAAATGAGTATAATTTAGCATTTTGCAAAATCTGAAGAAACAAAGGAACCTCAAATACGAATTGATACTGAAGATTTTTAAAGGAATATTGGTGTAAAGATAAGCTCAGAAGAGATATTTTCAGTGAAACTATAATCAGAGATCAATATTTTTCATGAAAATGCTTTATGTCTAAAATGATTGAATACGAATGCCGCAAAACACGTTTTCATGGAATTCTTGTGGAAAATATTCATTTTGAAATTGTTGAGTTTTTTAATCAAACACTCATAAATGCTTTACAAAATATGAAACAGATAATAAAACAAATTCCCAGTTCCAAATCTCGGCCTCCAGATGCCTATATTAGGGTGGAGGATTATGTTATTCAAAATTTGATAGTTCTAGGTACCTTTGTTTTATCACAGTGCGAGAGACATTCATACATTTATGCACATTCTTCATTATTTAATTTCTTTAAGTATAATACAGTGCATTAATATATGGTGGCAACAATTTTAAAAGTGAAACGCCACAAAATGTCAAAATGAAATTAATAGCCCTTCTTTTTCTTATTAAGGCCCTTTGGGCTAAAAATTATTTTTCAAAGTATCACACTAGTAGTTGTAGTAATACTACTGAAAAAATATTATAATATTAACTATAAAATAGTTTTATTATTTTTTCCATTTTTATTTTACAGAGTGGGTACTTTATTGTGTAACAATGAACGACATTCTTTATTGTGTTTACAATATTGTTCATAAGGTATTCTACTGTTGTATTTTAAATTAAACTTAATTCTTGCAGTACATAAATCGAGTAGACACTTCTCGGATATCTATATTTTTACTAACTGAAGAAGGATTATGTGCTAGATAACTACTTATTATCTTCTACATTTTTAAACTATACAATTACAATATATATGTATAGTTTCAAGAAAAGTATAAATAACCTTTCTTTCAGTAGAAATTGTGTTCTTGTTTTCTGAACATGGCTCCAAATAATCTCTCAGTTCATCGCAAATTAAAATAACTATAAATTTTGGAAATCTGAAATATGCAATGAAAAAAATCTTCTGGCAGAGTAAAAGCATCAACATATTTTCTATAAATTTGCCGCCGATTCAGAGAATAACGACCATATTCTTCGTTTAAATACAAAAAACTTAGGGGCGAAAACACATACAAAGCCATTCTCTACTTAGAATGTCAACTGGACAAAGCCTGATTGATGACATGGCAACACTTTTCCCTGTGCTTCCGACGGCTTATGTACTCTGAGATTATGGGATGTCGGGCAGTCCTGTTTCTCATTAGCAGCGACAACTGGCGGCCCACAAACTGCTGCCGACTCTTGGAGCGTAGAATAGGCGTCTTGGATTGGCAAATTTCTTTCACAGTGGAGAAAATTAGCTGAAAGATTTTTTTCAAACTTATTTCATGTTAATATTGCTATATTTTGTTTATGCATACCATTAATGCATTATTAATCAATTCAGCCTCTTAACTAACCCTTTATTTTTGAGTTCCTGTGCAAAAACTATCCACTCTTTTCTTACTGTGTACTTTTAATTAGTGCAACAAAGGATTCTATGAATATTTTCCCCAAATTTTTGTATTTTGTAATATTTTTATGATGCAAAATAAATGGTAAATAATTATTCTGAATTTTAATAATCCTACATTTATTTATATATATTTATTTGATAAAAAAATATGAAAACTACCTGAACGTTTCAGTTCAATTAGAAACAGTGTGGTAGACCTTAAAGCATGACAGGTTATAATATGGCTAAAAATAGTATGTTTTTAGATGGCATCCTAAAAGAATGAATTTATGAACTGTATTTTGTATATTCACTTAATTTATGAACTCTATTTTCCACCAAACTGCAAAACAGGCTGAACTATTAATCTCGTGCTTGACAGACATAAAAATAACCTCATACACAGCTAAATAAGTGCCCTGATGTCAAGTCAAAAGAGGCGTGGCATAAAACTTTTGTAGTATCATAACAAAACATCGTGAAGGTCACCAGCACAGCTGAAAAACACACTGCAAGTTTGTTTGGAATAAAGCGTCTTTTTTTATCTTCTGGGTGCATTTTGAAGATAATGAAGCAACAGATGCCATGTGAACAATGAATAAGAAATACAATAAATCATGCCCAAAGATGCTACTTTCAGGTCACAGACAGCAATAAGAATTCTTTAGTATAATATAGAACTTATATGTAATGCTTTCAAAAATACTGATAAAGAAATTGAAAATGCAAGATCTTGAACAATGTATACTTTAATACCATTTTTGAAATAAAAAATTATTTTGTATAACTATTTTTTTAAAAACATGCAAAAAATCATTTTCATTTCACTCACTTAAAATCCTCACACTGTTGGCAAGTCATAGTATTTTCGTACTGCATTTTTTGGTGCTCCTCATTTAACAAATTTTAATGAGTTCAAAGCAGTTAATTAAATCTGAAATCTGTGTGTTTTACTATTGTGCCATGCATTATATACAAGGTGAGACCCAAAAGTAAGGTGACTGATGTCATAATAATAACTGTATTACATATTTACATATAAATATATCACTGTTTTTCAAAGTAGTTCCCGCCGTCTACTTCAGACAACGTTCATACAAGTTCTGTAAATTTTTGAAAAATCCTTTATAGTTTAGTCCTTTGAGACTGTGTTAAGTTCCTTGGTAACAGCAGCTTGAATGTCTGAGATGCTTATTGTTGTCCTTCCTTTACTGCCAATTTCAGTCATGGAAAGAGGAAAAAGTCTGCTCGTGCAAGATCATGGAAATAAGGAGGGTGAAATAACTCCACAACCTTTTACTGCACGAGGAACCATCTAACACACATTGCTGCAGTACGAGGTCGTGCATTATCATGCAACAGAAACCACTTGCCTGATGCAGCGAGATGGGGTTTGCAGGTTTTGATTGACAGCATTTCAAAGATTAGCCACTGTGAAAGCTGTATTAAAATTTTATTATCATAATTTTTTAATAAGTGGTTTTATAGCATTAAAGCAATTTATTAAAAAAATGGTATTTCCCAGGAGGACAAATGATATCCTTCATCTACATAATCTTCTAGTTGAAGTAACATTCTGTCTGAAATAGTTAATGTTTTATTAAAGTCACGAAAATTGTGGTTAAAGAGCAAGGTAGCCTAAAATTGAGGGAAACAAAAGAATTCCTTGGCTTAAAATTATCACTTTAGGTTTTTAGTAAACAAGTTTCAAATAAGCATTACCAAATGAAAAAAGATAAACTTTAAAACTTACCTTTTTCCTGTTGTTTTACGTTTTCTGTTGTTTTCCTGTTTTTTTTCTTTTTCTCTGTAAAACAATGTTTATAATAAATAAAACTAATTTATAATACTTTTTTAATATTTAGAAACAGTTTTTTAGCTTTGAAAATGTATAATTTTTCTAATTAATAAGCTATCATCATTCATATTATAATGCAAAAGTAACATTTTAAGGAGATTTTAGGAAAATTAGAACATGAGAATTTCCTTGCCCTTTAAAATTAAACCTTCTAAACACATACAGATACTTGTGATAAAAAATGCATTTAATTTTTCTATCATTATTTCAGATATGCTAAGGAAAAAAGGGCACAACCTTTTTTTGCCCCTAGCATCTCTTTTATCATTGCTGGATGATCAACCCCCTCTTTGTAAATCTCAAAATGTACAGATACATTTATTTAAATTTAGATTATTTTTTACTGCATTTTATAAAGTAAACAAGAAAAAATATAGAAAATATTGTTCAATACCAAAACTTGAATAAAAGTAGTTTTTGATATTCATAAAATAAACAATTAAATGGTAAATAAAAGGCTGACTGCATATCCTCCTGAAACTATAACATTCCATCCTGGCTGAGAATCCCTGCTTTATACACTGCATTTATTATGTAAGTTAATCAATTAATTAATACACATCTCGCACTATTCAATCATATATAAATATCAAAAAATTATACACAGTTGAGACTCTACAAATAACACATTTTATTTTCTATCTTTCATAAACACGAAGTAAAGATTTCGATGTTTTAGCCTAATCCTAAGGAGATAATACAGCCATAAAAAATGCTACTATACTATATACAGACTGAAGAAATGACAGAATAATATATACCATGTATTGCTGTCAAAGTACAGAAATAGTAGCTCTAACTCTATACGCATAATCACTATCGATAATTATAATCTCTGCAAAAATAATAGTAAATGAGCTGCTGTATGTCCCATTTCAGCTTCATTTATTTTTATTTATTTATTTTGTGGACATGAGTTTTCCAATTTATGAACCTTTTCTTTCTTTACCATTCAAAATGTTTAAAAGACTATGATAAACTGCAATAATGAGAAACCTAAGCTTATTTCTCTTTTTAATTGCTGAAAATAGTTACGCAACATTATTGGAGTGGGGTATTTCATCTAAGCTAGTTCCATGCCACTTGCATTCATCAACTTGTTAACTGGGTATGATGACATTTTTCATCAATGAAATTAACTGCGTTATGTTGAACATATCGTACTTTATGTAATTCTTATATATTTAATCCTAGTATACTTATATGGCATCATATTGTAGATGAGGCATGTTAATTAATGTACAATCATGTTTTTGCGATCTGGTACTTGAGCAGTACTCACAAACAATTGGTCGGTTTGTGTTCTTTCCGCTTATACACTGTGAATTGAATTTGCACAATTTGGCTTCATTTTAATTTGCATTTCACTATTTTACATATTAGTGATTTCAGTAAAATTTATTTTCTTTAAAATATAGCTAAAATTTATTTGTTTAAAAGCATGCCACATTGATTCAAGAAGTATCATACTGCACATTAATTCTTTAAACATTGAAAGCACTTGATTTATATATAAGTATCATCAAATTTTTTTGTGGAAATTTAAAAAAAAAATCAATAAGTTAAAAACAATTTTCTTTTGAGGTGCGATGACATTATTTATCATGGAGACAAAAAAGTCCCCAGTGAGAAACTCGTTTCACAAAATTTTATTCCCCAGTTAATAGGTTAAAATAAAATCACAGTACAATGGCACCTATCACACTTATTCATTACTCAAAGACTGACTGTTACCTTTAGCAGGAACATCTATAATAACCCAAACCATTCACAGCAGGATTGGTTGATTGCACAGTATGCAGCAACTTGTGTGCTAACTGAACGCATTGATTGCATACTTAGTGCAAATATACTATTAAATAGCATCAGGTATTGTTCACAGATAAATCTTGCTTCTGTGAGTATTGCAACAGTGACTGTAGAGTTTTCATGGAACAGCTGGGAATGCAATGGGCACCTCTTGTAATTGATAATATATGATGCAAGTTGTAAGATTATTATACTGTATACGCTCAACCGCAATGTCCGCACCTTTTTTACTAAAACTGCATCAGTAAAATGCAGACTCCATAGTCCCATTACAATGCTTTACAAGACAAAAAATGCACTAAATGAACAAAAACAAACACTAATAGCTGTTGAATTTGAAGGTGGAAAACGCTGCTATGTGTTGTGCATACGCAAACCAAGATTGCCAGTTTTGGCAACATAGTGCATTGCCCTGTGAATACTTTTCCGAGAAATGCTGATAATCAGAAAGTACCATGGCTTTTTTCTGGAAAGCAAAAGATTAGAATTATGGTCACAACTAACACAATAGTCAATTACATTTATTCAGTTTAATATGAATTATGAGATATCTATTTATTAAATGCATGTGCTCCTGTATTTTTACTTTTCGGCATAGCTTTCTCTTAAAACTTGTCGTGCATAGAATTTAGAATTGCACGGGGAAATGAAACAATTGAATAACAGTTATACTACAAATAGCAAACTAAATACTGCCCTCCTTCCCAAGGACTGCACATCCCCGGCAATACAATCCCTGGACAGGAAGCCAAACTTACAACTAAGGCATAAATGCAATAATAAACATTACATTACAATAACAACATAAACAATAATAAGTAACTTTTAAATAAATCAAATACAAATTTAGAAACCAAAAGGACCATGGTCTTATACTATTTACAATTATATACACTATGCACTATGGCCATAGTAAGGAGCTAACCTGTCGTAGTGAATGACTTTAGGCTTAGAGTTCGATGACTTATGGATCCGAACCACTATGTCAGCCTCTTTAAGACTGTGTAAGAACTATCCAAAGGTGACTGTAGTTTAGGATAGGGTGCTTTCCGTCAAGTCAGATTTCACAACCACACCTTGTCTCCTTCATTGAATCAATGTCCACTAGCTCTGGTGTTGTATCAGGTCTTCATCTTCTCCGTCACCAAGTTGACTCGCTCTTGTGCAAAATTGTGCATCACTTCAAACCGGACCTGAAATCTTGGACGTGTTCCTCAGACGATGAAGGCACATGTAAAGGGCGACCAAATAACAGATCACATGGCAGACGAAGATCATAACCGATGAGCATCTGGGATGGAGTTTATCTGGTAGTCTGGTTTCTCTTTGACTCTAGTTTAATTTCGACAGCTATCTGAGCAGGGCTTTTCAGACAAGGCGTCGGCATTTTCAGGTGAGAAACACTTCTGATGATGGATAGTTATGTCCTCTGATGCTGAAAGAAGTTTATTGTTTCTGAAGTCTAAGGAAAAATTGTATTTCCTTATAAAGTCCGGTCTGAGTATGCAAGGATCTGGGATCTGTAATATCTGCCACATATGCCATATGATGGTAGGCAGCACTTCCAAACATGATGTTCATGTTTAACTTCCCAGCTATGTCGATTTTATCATCAGACGCAGTCTGGAGGGTAACACAGGATGGCATGCAAATGAGTTTACCTTTAAATTGTTGAGCTAAATCTTTCCGAATGATGGTAACATTAGCTCCTGTGTCAATGATCATATTGGAAGGAACTCCATCGAGGTGCTCATTGATGAATAGTTCCTTACTGTTTCCACTCACTGCAGAAATCTTGAGCGCTTTAAAACAGGTTTTTTTCACTATTGTTCAAACTCTGCTTCGCGATATGGTCATTAATTTGTTTCCTGCGTCGTTGCTGAGAAATGGTATTACCTTCCGTGCCCTAGGGTGTTCTGCAGTTCTTCATACTTGACCTTCAGCTCCACAGTTACAGCACTTTGGTTTCTTGTCACTCCTATTCCATCTCATGGCATTTAATTGTCTGTTTAAATAATCTGTCTTATTTTTTATGCTCTAAAGTGGTCTGCAATTTCTTTGTATATGCCCTTCAGCACTTTAGGATTGGGTTCTTGTGACTAATATTCCGTCTCAGGGAATTGAGTAGTCTGCTTAAATAGTCTAGATGAACAGTGACTCAACAGAGACTTGATGAACAGTGGGTGGCAGTCTTTATGAGTTGCTTGCTGGGCTGCCTTGAATTTCATGGCATACACTAGAGTGTTTTTCAAATCTTTGACATCTGCCATTCGTACAGCTTTTAGCATTTCAGGATCCAGGATGACATCAATACAGTATTGCAGGGACAATATTTTCCTTGTTTCTATCGGGCACTCAGAAAAGGCGTGGTGGGACAGCTTTTCAACATCCATGGTAAGCTCCTGGAGTGTTTACATTGGCTTCTGTTCATGGATTTTAATTCAAGCCTGCCGAAATCTTTTAAACATTTCTTCTCAAAGCACAGCTTCAATGCGCCGGACAGAGCTTTGAAATCTAGCCTTTTGTTTTCGGGAAGAGTCTGAAGGATATTTGTTGCATCTGCTCTCAGAGAAGCGGAGAGATAACAGGTCTTAGCTTAGGGATCCCATCCATTCGCTTTAGCCACTATAGAAAATTGTGTCTTACACACCTGCCAGCAGGTCTTCCCATCATATGTGGATAGCTTCAGAGAGGGATCAGCAGGCATGGGTAAAAATTTAACCCTTTGACACGCTCTATATTACATTCATAAAATTTTTAACTAAAAACTCAAGAAATTGAATATTATGACCCTAAAGACAAGTAATATATGAATTAAAAAAATTTACTCTTGCCTATTGTTCTGTGGGTGGTGGTCGCACTGTGAAACCAGCACGTGTCTAGGACTTTAAAACCTACTGAGATGGTAGCAGGAAAAACTTACCTTTTTCCGTGCGCATTTCCAATAAATGATGAAATTTACGGACTTTAAAAAAATGTATGTAAGAATTGCATTATATGTAAATTCTTTACATTATTTTACAAACTCATCAGAAAAAATTTACCACCGAGCCTCTAGATGATTGTGACACAATGCTCTAGTGGCGCAGTGGTCACGCCTTGAAAGCACAAAGCAAATGTCGTAAATATAGATAGGTTTT